ATGATTGGCAATCAGATATATGGATTTCTTACTCACATGATCTGGAGAGTACTGGTCTGGTGGTTTTCCACGGTTATGCCTGAAAGGTAATTGATAACCAACAGAAGTATCAAATGCAATAGCCGGAGGAGGAGTAGTTACCTTATGAATATTCTTAGGAGATTGATCGGTCTCGGCTACTAGAGGTTAATGAGGGGGGTCTTCATCTTCAAGACTTCTACTAGGTTCTTCTCCATGGTCAGCCATACAAGCTGGTGTAGTTATGATTCCTATTTAAGGTTTAGTCACACCCGATAAATCAATAGGAGCTGCTGCAGGAGTAGTAGAAGCTGTTGTAGCCTTGGGAGAAGCTACTGTTACTTCTATTGCAATTGTTAGGAAATCAAAATTAGCCCAATTCTGCTCAGCCCAATTATGCTCTTCATGTCGTATCCCTAAAGAGAAGAATGGGACATTGGGGAAGGAAAAAAGAACTCAAACTCTAGAAATGTGACATCTATGGTAACATAAGTATGTCGGGTATGATAACACCGATACCCTTTTTGATGCGTCGCATATCCTAGGAGAAAAAAACAACGCAGAGCGCAAGGATCAAGCTTAGTACGCTAAGTTTTATGGAGATGTACGAAAGTAACACACCCAAATATCTGAGCGGGAAGCATCAGGACAGAGGGTAAAGGGCCATGGTGAGAGAGAGCCTGAAGCGGTGTTTGAAACTCCAAGACTTTGGAATGCATGCAATTCAAAAAATAAGTCGCTATAACAATGGCATCTGCCCAATAACTACGAGGGGCGTGGGCACCAATTAAAAGAGACCTAGCAGTCTCCAAGATATGTCAGTTTTTGCGTTCAACCACACCATTCTGTTGAGGAGTGTTAGAGCAACTTGTCTCATGAATGAGACCATAAGTGTTAAAATAAGTTTTTAATGCATTGTTCACGTATTCTCCATCATTATCGGAGCGGAGAATCTGAAGTTTGGCAGAGAATTGAGTCTGAATCATGGTATGGAAATATTGAAAATAGTAAGCACGTCACTCTTATGTTTCAACAAATAAACCCAAGTCATGCGAGTGCAATCATCTACAAAAGTCACAAACCAACAAATACTAGAAGGGGTTGAAACTGGAGAAGGTCCCCAAACATCGGAGCGTACCAAAATAAATGGAACATTACTTTTATTCAAACTCAAAGGATAAGGCACACGGTGACTCTTTGCCAAAATGCAAGTTGCTCATTTAAAGTTTGATTCACTGACATCGAAAAATAAATCAGGTAACAAATGCTTCAAGTAATAAGGGATGGATGCCCCAAGTGATGATGCCATAGCCAAAGCTGGTGTCGTTGCACATTGGGCACTTATTGCACATGATGAGCTTGATCCGCACTGAAATCATCCATAAAATATAGCCCTCCTCGCTTAGTACCACGACCAATGATCTCCTTCGTGAGAATATTCTAAAGAAAACAAAATTTGGGATATATTAATGCACAACAATTTAATTCTTCAGTAGCTTGTCCCACAGATATTAATTTACTTGAAAGGGATGGAACAAGTAAAGTATTTGGCAACGAGAGATGTGAAGAGAGAGAAATAGTGCCGGCTCTTGTAACCGGATAAATTACTCCATTGGCATTAGCAATATTCACTCATTTTGGTTGAGTAGTACTAGTAAAGTCATTAGAGTCAAGCGTCATGTGTTCGGTGGCGCCAGAATCAATTATCCAACCATTAGAGGCATCCTGAGTTGAATTAAATAAAGTGTAACCACAGTTACTTGAATCACTGAAAGAGGTAGAGCCACCAATGAGAGGAGAAGTACTTGGGGATGTCTGAGGGTCGACATGTGATATAAGGGACAACTACGGACCTACATGTGCCAAAGCAGCTCATCCTGAAACACTGTTGACAGTAGCATCATGTTGTTTCCAGGCTTTGAACTCATCCCACCAGTCTGGATACCCATTTAATTTAAAGCAAGTCTCACTTGTGTGCTTTGTCTTACCACAATAAGTACACCCATTACCTTCAATAGACGACTGCCCAGATCTACGACTTGGAGATGATGAACTAGAATTGGGCAGCATCGGACCAGACCGATTATCACCTGCAAGTTTCCCAACTGGGACCATTGACAGCTGTAGCATCGAAAGGGAAGAGAGTGGCTGTTTCACAGTAGGTGGATTTGAGCAGGTCCCTCCTCAAGATGCCATAGCAGCACCAATTTGTTCATCTGTTCCGGCCATCATCACGGACTGCTATGAATCTTCGCAGCGAACATAGGCATATGCCTGTTCCACAAAGGGAAACGACTTCGTTAGGAGTACGTCGCTACGAACCTTGTTGAGCCAATCGTCTAAGCTGTCAAGAAAGGTATATACTCGATCTTCTTGTAGAATCAAAGTAAATTTTTGAATATCAATGATACAGACCATCGGATTGGGACATCGGAAATGGATCTCCCTCTATAAGGCCTAAAGGTCGTTGTAATATTTTTCAATTGACCCACCACCATGTTGCATCTTGGTCACCCTTTTCTTGAGATCGTATAACCTGAGATATGTCTGTGCCGTCGAAAAAAGTCGTGGTAATTGTGTCCCACACTGCTTTTGCCGTTGAGAATTGAATGAAGTTACTGATCATGCTTGGTTCCTTGGAGTTGATTAACCACCCCTTCACAATTGAATTTTTAGTCCTTCATTTTCGCCATGTCAGGTCGGTTTGTTGGGGCTGTGGAAGATCTTCACTAATATATCCCAGTTTATCCTTGCCGGAGATATACATCTCCAAAACCTAGGAGCAAAGAGCATAGTTGGTTCTATCCAACTTGATGCCGATTGGTGTAGTATAAATTTCATGGTTTGGTGTCTGGTTCTGAGTCAGGGTCTGGGAGAGTAATTCTGTCATTCTAGATGTTAGGTCTTCTAGGGTTGGGTTGGTAACGGAGGAGTTGTCTTTAGGTGGATTTTCCATAGTCGGCTAGGTCTGGTGAAGGTGTAGAGGCGTGAAGCAGAAACCCTAGGATCTCTGCTCTGATACCATGTAAAACATATGGAAAACGTATAGCTTTCATTTATGTATTCTCTATGAATTACAATTACATATATAGACTTTCATACAGAGATCTATTCTAGGAAACTATTCTAGGAAGTAATCTAATTTAGGCTGTCATTGTGATTGACCCAGAATTCGTGCAATCTCATCTAAATACAGTAGGCAATTTACTTCCAATCACCCTTGATTTACAACTCATGCCAACAAATACAATGCCCAGAGAAATTTACAAACTCAAATTCACTTTGAAGATCATAGAAACAAAAACACATTCACATCAAAACGCATAATGCTATTTATTCCTCAAAAACATAGAGAAAATCTAATTTACTCACAAAACTTTCAATTAATTTCCCAATCTATACATCTAATCCAAAGAAAATTAAAAATCAAAAATAAAAAACTTATAATAACATGGCCATATAAAATTATTAACTACAGATAAAAGTCCGGAGAAAATTACAAACTTATAATTGATAAGCATGCTAAGCATAGAAAAAAATCACAGAGAATTACTAACTATTCTACAAAAACATAGAGAAAATCTTATTTGAGCATAATTCCACAAATTCCATTTAAATTACTAATCCATACATCTAATCCACAGAAATTATAATAACATGTCTATAGAACAAATCAAAACAAGAATTCCAATGCAAATAGAAAAAGCATTAAAAACAAAGATTGAACTCCACTGCAAATTGAACAACAAACAACTCAAAATAACTTGCAATATCAAAAAATACACCAGATCAACTCCACTACAAAAATCAACAAGCAACAAACAAGATCTGGAAATCAACGAACACTGAATAAACGAAGAACGCGATCAAAACAACAAACAACAACACGAGCAACTCAAAATCAATTCCACTGGAACAATGAACAAAGAATTTGAAATAACCTTGAAACTGAATTTGAAATTAGAAATCAGAAATTAAAATCCACTCTCCACTTAAAAATCAGAAATCAAAACCTAATCCCTACCAAAATAGCAAAAATATAATCTTCAATTACCAAATCAAAATCAACGTAGTTATATAGGAGGGAAAATTAGGTTTTACAATATGAGAAACGGGTAAAGGACCTTAACCATAAAAAATAAATATAAAAAAATATTGTGGATCTCTCATACTACCCAAAATTGGAGGGCGGTGTTAGATTAATTTTCCCAAAAAAAAACTCAAATCTTTATTATAACCATGGGATTCTTTTTCTTTTCTTTTTGTGTGTGTGTGTGGAGATTATGCTGATCTTTTTTGTTTACACAAATCACTTTGATAGTCAAACTACAATTACTGAACTTTTCACTTGTAGGTTCTAATTGTTTTCCTTCAAGCTCTGCCACTGGCGGTTGGCATTCATTCTTTTTGCTGTCTTTTCTTTGGGATGCTTCCAAGGGCTTCCTTGTGAATAATACTTTTGGTTAAGGGATTTGGAAAGGGATTTGAAAAAGAAAAGGAAAAAGGTAGGTGAAATATGAATAAAATATACCTACATTTTACATAGTTTCACACACTTTTTTTTCCCTTCTCTTTCCAAATCTCTTCCTGAATCCCCCAACCAAACACATCGTAACTGATGAAGCCGAAGTTAGTTTTGTATCCACATGTTAGATATTTAGCCGTTGTTTTTGTTTTGCTTCGTTAAATAATCCCTATTCGTTAAGGACTTAGTTAGCATTTGATCTATTCATTTGGAGAATCTCATAAGTCTTGGGCTGTTAGAAATGGGATAGTATTTTCCTTGATTTTTTATTCAGTTTGTTTCTGTAAGCCTATTTAAACTAGGTCTCTGATTTCATTCAATTATAAGTCAACTTTTCACAAGTATTTTGCACTACAGTATTCAAAGCTTTGATATTTAACATTTGGTATCAGAGCTTCATCAAGGGTCCTGATTATCAAAGAAGCAGCAGTCTTCCCATTTGCAGCCACAAGATCACATGGCATCAGAAAATAGTAGTTTTGTGCAACCAGTAATCCCTCACTTTGATGGTCACTATGACCATTGGAGCATACTGGTGGAAAACTTTTTGCGATCTAAAGAATATTGGGGTCTTATAGCAAACGCTATTGTTGAACCAGTAGACGATGCAGTTCTGACTAATACACAAACGAAGGTTCTCAAAGAACAAAAGTTGAAGGATTTGAAGGCAAAGAATTACTTGTTCTAGGCAATAGATTATGCCATCCTGCAAACCATCCTCAAGAAGGACACTGCTAAAAAGATTTGGGACTCCCTGAAAAATAAGTATCAAGGCACGACAAGGGTCAAACATGCACAACTTCAAGCTCTTCGCCAAGAGTTTGAGACTCTTCACATGAAGGGAGATGAGTCAGTCAATGACTATTTTGCAAGAACACTGGCAATAGCAAACAAAATGTGTATTCATGGCGAGAAAATGGGAGATGTTGCAGTCATTGAGCAAATGCTTCGTTCAATGACTCCCAAATTTGATTATGTTATATGTTCCACTGAAGAATCGAATGACATTGATAGTATTTCGATTGATGAGTTGCAGAGCTCATTGCTGGTACATGAACAGAGGATGACTAAGCATGTTATGTTGGAGCAAGCCTTGCAAGTTTCAATTCATGGAGAAACATCCACTGGGAGAAGCAAAGGACGTGGCAAATTTCAAGGAAGATGAAAAGGTAGAGGATGCCAACTTTCCTACAATCAAGGAGCACCATTTGACAAGGCAAGTATGGAATGATATCACTGTCATAAGCTTGGCCATTTCCAATATGAATGACCTGACAAGGAGAATGATACAAAGATGAATTTTACTGAAACTGAAGAAGAGCTACTTTTGATGGCGTACATCGACAAGAGGGAGACTAAATCAGATGATGCATGGTACTTAGACTCTGGTTGTAGAAATCACGTGAGTGGTAACAAACTCTTCTTCTCTGATTTAGATGAGACTTTTAGAAAGAATGTAAAACTTGGAAACAATATTAATATATGTGTCATGGGGAAGGGTAACATCAAAGTTCTGATGAATAACAATATGTACACTATTACTGGCGTGTTTTGTGTTCCAGCACTCAAAAGTAATTTGATTAGTCTTGGTCAGTTACAAGAGAAAGGTTTTGCCATCATCATTCAAAAGAGTTGTTGTCAAATTCATCATCCACAAAAGGGCTTTATTGCAGACGTCAAAATGACAGGAAATCAGATGTTTCCTTTGCAAACTCAGATTGAACATGCTGATTAGATATGTCACAAATCAACAGTACAAGATCTTGCATGGTTGTGGCACTATCGATATGGGCACTTGAACTTTAATGGGCTAAAACCCTTACAACAAAAGAAAATGGTGAAAGGACTTCCACATATTCAATCTCCTTCAAAGATTTGTGAGGATTGCATCATTGGCAAGCAGCATCGTGACCCATTTCCTAAAAAGAGTGCATGGAGAGCCACCCAACCACTGCAGCTAGTCCATTCAGACATTTACGGGCTAATTAATCCAACATTGAACAACAACAAAAGGTACTTCATTACCTTTACTGATGACTACAGTCGAAAAACATGGGTTTATTTTTTGATAGAAAAGTCTGAGGCTATTGTTGTATTTAAAAGATTTAAAGCTCAAGTTGAAAAAGAAACTGGGAAGTCCATAAAGGTTTTTCGTACTGATTGTGGAGGTGAATTTACCTCACATGAATTCACTAACTTGTGTGCGAGAAATGGTATTCGTAGACAGCTTACTGCCGGATACACACCATAACAGAACGGTGTGTCAGAAAGGAAAAACCGCACGATTCTAAATATGGTGTGAAGCATGATTGCAAGGAAGAACATTCTTAAGAGTTTTTGGCCTGAAGTTGTAAACTGGAGTGTTCATGTGTTGAATAGAAGCCCTACACTTTCTATAAAGACCATGACACCTAAGGAAGCATAGACTGGGCACAAACTAGCAGTTGATCATTTCAGGATATTTGGATGCTTAGCTTATACACATGTACCTGATGAAAAGAGAAGCAAACTTGATGACAAATGAGTGAAATGTGTTGCTCAGTGTCAGTGAGGAATCCAAAGCATATAGACTGTTTAATCCACTCACTCAGAAAATAATCATTAGCCGTGACTTGGTGTTTGATGAAGACAACAACTGGATTGGAATATCACAAGAAATAAATCTGTTTCAGTTGATTTAGATGCAAAAGATAAAAGCAACACTGAAGAGGAAGTGCAATCCACTGGAGACAGTTTATCAGATGTTCCATTAAATCAGCCAGCTGAAATTGAACGTTCAAGTGAAGATGTTCAACGTCCAAGAAAAAGACCCTATTGGATGATAGACTATGTAAGTGGGAATGAATTATCTGATGATGAAACTTTTGCTCATCTTGCTCTATTTGTAGATAGTGATCCTATAGTATTTAATGATGCTGTCAAGAACTAAAATGGAAAAAAGCCATGGATGCAGAGATAGAAGCAATTGAAAAGAATCATACTTGGAAATTAACTAATCTTCCAGAAGGAAAAAAAAATCATTGGTGTTAAATGGATCTACAAAGCAAAGCTAAATGAGAAAGAAGAGGTTGATAATTTAAGGCTCGGCTGGTGGCTAAGGGATATACACAAGAATATGGCGTTGATTATGTTGAAGTTTTTGCACCTGTTGCAAGGCATGACACCATTCGTTTGGTGGTTTCACTAGCAGCACAAAATTCTTGGTCCATTTATCAGCTTGATGTAAAATCCACTTTTCTTAATGGTGAGTTGAATGAGCAAGTCTTCATTGATCAACCTCCAGGTTATGTACAGAAAGGGAATGAGCAAAAAGTTTATAGACTAAAAAAGGCCCTATATGGACTGAAACAAGCACTCCTGGCTTAGTACAGTTGTATAGATTCTTACTTCTCAAGTGCTGGCTTCCAAAAATGTTCCTATGAGCATACTTTGTACTTCAAATCTGGAAAGGGAGGTAACTGTCTGATTGTTTGTCTATATGTAGATGACTTGATATTCACTGGAAATGATGAAACAATGTTTATTGAGTTTAAAAAGTCTATGATGGATGAGTTTGATATGACTGGTCCAGGAAAGATATGTTACTTTCTTGGTATTGAGGTGGTACGATCATCAATTGGAATTTTCATCGGCCAAAGAAAGTATGCTCAAGAAGTTTTAGAAAGTTTTGGGATGACTGATTGCAATCCTGTTCAGAATCCAATTGTTCCAAGTTGTAAGCTCACAAGAGATGCATAAGGAGTGAGAGTTGACAACACTCATTACAAACAAATTGTTGGTAGCTTGATGTATTTATTAGCCACTCGATCAGACATGATGTTTGTGGTTAGTTTCATCAGCAGATTCATGGAAGCTCCAACTGAACTTCATCTTCAAGTTGCGAAAATAGTGCTTCGATACTTGAAAGGTACTGTTGATTATGGAGTGTTTTACAAGAAAAGAGAAGGGAATAAATTAATTGGTTTTAGTGATAGTGATTATGCAGGGGATTTGGAAAATAGAAAGAGTACATCTGGCTATGTTTTTATGCTGAGTTCAGGAGCTATTTCATGGTCCTCAAAGAAGCAGCATGTCGTCACTTTATCCACAACTGAAGCTGTATTCATAGTAGCTGTTTCTTATGCTTGCCAAGCTGTTTGGTTAAGAAGAATTCTCGAAGAGTTGTATTGCAATCAAGTTGGACCAATATTGATTTATTGTGATAATAGTTCAACTATTCAACTCTCTAAGAATCTAGTGCTACATGGAAGAAGCAAACATATAGATGTCCGATTTTATTTTCTTCGTGACCTTACCACAAAAAAAAAAAAAAAGAAGTGGTTGAGCTGGTGTATTGTCAAAGTCAAAACCAAATCACAATTATATTAACCAAACCATTGAAATTGGAAGCATTTGTGAAACTGCGAGGTTTGCTTGGAGTTTGTTCAATTTCCTTTGTAAACTGATTGCTTGAGTAGCATTCAGTTTAAGGGAAAGTGTTATATATTTACTCCTTTTTTTTTTGTTTTGCTTTGTTAAATAACCTTATTTGTTAGGGACTTAGTTAGCATTTGATCTATTCCTTTGGAGAATCCCATAAGTCTTGGGCTGTTAGAAATGGGATATTATTGTCCTTGATTTTCTGTTCAGTTTGTTTCTGTAAGCCTATTTAAACTAGGTCTCTAATTTCATTCAATCATAAGTCAACTTTGTTAGAAATGGTTTTGGAAAAATCAGATTTGTCCTCAACTTTGGTCTATTTTTTAGGTGGGACCCATGCGCCAAAGTTGGCGGGTCTAAGTGGTAACACGTTCTATGCCGCGTTGTGATTCACGTAGTATATTTGGTTGCTCAAAACCATTATCAGGTGAATGGAAAATTAAAACCAAAGTGAGCTCCATGGAAATGGAGTTTTTGGTGAAAATTCCTTAAAAGTTTGAATTAAAGGCTTGTCCCACATTGGTTTAGTAGGAAAACTTTTATGGGTTTATAAGGCTTGAGTTTGCAACTTAGGGAGGGCCCCAAGAGGCACCCCAAGTTTGTAGAAGGGAGAGCTTATAGACAAAGTGGGCTAGACCCATTGTACCCAAAATAAACACACGCGCGCGCGCCGCTGTCCGTCCGGTCGGTCAGGCGAGCTGGGCTGGGCCTAAGGTTGGGTTGGGCTTGTCCGACCCAATGATTATCTTTTTGGGCCAAAAACATTTTGGATTTTTATTTTTCTAAAATTAAATTCTTATCTTTTTTGAATTTAAATTTTGAAAACAATTCTGAAATGGTGTCCAGATTATTCCTACACCCAAACAAGTCCATATCTATCCAAAAGAAACCAAACAGATTCAGTTATCTGTCCAAAATTGAAACCGAACAAATTGTATCTGTTTAAAACAGTGCCTTACCTATTTAATTCAAACTAGACAGGTTTTGTATCTGTCCAAACAGGTACTATACTTGTTGAATTCAAAATTGATAAGCCACCATTGCACCTATAAATAGACAAGTCCCTCAATTGGTTTTTCATTCTGAAAATTCGTTCTTCCCTCTGTCATTACTCTCTACATTTTGCTGTATTATTTTTCTGTGAGAAAGTGAGTGTAAACACAAAGTGTGTTCGTTGTGCGAATAATTTGTAGTGTTGCTATTATTCGTTGTTGATCATTTTATCCTGGGAGATAGACGTCCGCAATCTAAAAGCACCGTGGAGAGGATGAATCTGTCTTAAGGACCTAGTGTTAAACACTGGATTTGATCAAAAATTTATTTGACAAATAAATAAGGTAAGTATTTATTTTACTTTCAACTTATTTATTTATATCAGATTTTGATTTTGTTCTTGTAACAAAATAAAAGTCTGTTTTATTTTATTTTATTTTATCTTTTATACTGTTTTGATTTTTGTAATCAAATAGTCTATGTCCTCTCTTTAATTCTTCAAATACAGTGAAGATTGTCCAATAAACTTTTCACAAGTATTTTGCACTACAGTATTCAAAGCTTCGATATTTAACACCACAGTGAATAAATTCTCCAAGTAGTTATGTGTGAGGCTTTTATACCAAGAGTCGTGCTACAGGCCTCGAATATTGAGGCTCGAATTTGCCTTAAATTTGTTTAATCGGTCGTCCGGCAAAAAGGGTGACAACCGCAATAGACAAGTGCTTCACCAATTGTCTGGGTGGTCATCAG